GCCCACAGTGGACACGGGGCCCACACGCTGCCCCTCATGCAGGCCATACAGGTGCATCTTGTACTTGCGCCCAGGCTCCAGGTCCCTCATTGTGACCTCTCTCTCCTCACCCCCGACACGCACTGCCTGGGGCCGTCCATCCCTGTCCTTGTACTGGACAGTGAAGGAGTCGAAGTGGCCCTGGGGGACGGTCCAGGAGAGGCTCAGCGAGTCTGGGGATGATCCTGTCACTGTCAGCTCCCCCAGAATTGGCTCCTCTGGGTGCTCTGGGGCTTCTGTGCTGGGTTCTGTGGGGCTAGGGGTCTCCTCCACCTCTGTGGGGGCAGGGGTCTCTTTCTCTGCAGCTGAGAAGGAGAAAGGGGGACAGAGAGTGAGGCAGGGTGCCCGGGGGTGTCCTTAGGTCTTAGGGAGACAAGTGTGGCCATGACTGGGGAGAAGCTCAGTTCAGATGACCCCCGTTCCTTGGAGCCAAGTGGTCCTGCTCAGCTCACAGCTAGCAAACAAGACTAAGTTCCAGGGTCAGCTGTGGGGAACCTGGGACAGCCACCAGCACAGCACACAGGGTCCTCCTCTGCCCACGAGGACCTGTCAATCCCCAGGGAGACCAGGGGAAGGCAAAATGTGTACCATGGCTCAGCCTAGAGCAGAGGGGCCTTTTGGGCCCAGTCACCCATCAACAGAAAGTGAACCTCCTGCTGGGTCCGGTGCTGGGACTCCCACTGTCCACTCACCTGTCACCCCGATGACAGAGATGGGGCCCACACGCTGGCCCCCATGGAAGCCATACAGGTTCATCTTGTATTTGTGGTCTGGCTCCAGGCCTGAGATGGTGACCCTGTCCTCATGCCCTGGCACCCGTACCACCTTGGGCTGCCCATCGCCATTCTTGTATTGGACCAGGAAGTGGTCAAACTGGCCCTCGGGGACCGTCCAGGTCAGGCTCAGGGAGTCGGGGGTGGCATCTGACACAGTCATCTCCCCCAGGCGTGGCTTGTTGGGAGGCTCGGAGGTTGTGGTGGGGGCTCCCTGAGTGGCCACAGCTTCACCTTCTGGAGCTGGACAGACAAGTACAGGGACAGTGAGTCCTTTAGCACAGGAAGGGTGTATCACAAACACGGCGTGCCCAAGAGCAGGATGACCCAGCAATCCCTTCCTTCCATGCCCTTCTCCCTGGCCTTTCCTATCCCCTCACCTCCCACCCACCCTCCATCTTGCAGGTGTCTTCTCCCTGCCCCTCCAGCACTGACTGCCTCTGTCCTAAGCACAGGCCCACTCGGACCCTGTGTCCTGGGCCTCCCTGCACTGAGGTCTGCTCAACATCTTTTGCTCATTTGGCTTCTGTCTTTGCTTCCAAAAAGGCATAGCAACTGGGGTGTGTTCCTGGACCTGTCCCCTGGCCCCGGCCCTCCCCCCTCTGCTGTCAGCAGTTCAGAGTGTGTCCCACTCTCTTGGATGCTATCCCTCGCACATCACCAGCTCCAGGGTCCTGGCTGAGCCACCATCATCTCTCACCAGCCTTGCCACCCCGTTCTGGTCTCCCTGCCTCCAGGCTACCCTCCCCCACCTCTGTCCCCTCCTCTCCAGCCAGGATGGGCTGTGTACAGGCACTGCTGCTGGTGCTAGTCTCAGCACAGAACCAAGAAACCACCCTCCTCCTCCTGGGAGATAACCCAGGCTGCAGGCGGCTGCCCCCACCTCTCCTCCCACATTTCCGAACTGTCTCCTGCACCTCAAGAGAATCACCGCACATAACTCTCACTTCGTCTCATAGGCCATGCTCTGCCCAGCCACCTGGTCTTTGTACCAACTGTGGTGTTGCTCTGACACACCCTTCATCTTCTAATGTTGTCCTGGAGCTAATGAACACCTGACCTCAGGTCTGGGCTGTGCCCTGGGAATCCCAAGGTTTAGAGGTCCCTTTCCAGTGCAGGTGTGGTCCTAGGCCCCAGTCACATGCTCACGCCTGTGCTTTATTTGCTGCCTCACAGCCAGTCTCTCCACGAGTCTGAGCCCCATTAGGACA